CACATCCGTGGATGAGCGTAGTGTAGCTTGTCAGTTCCCGCATCAGTGGAAGTGCGTAGCTAATACCCAAGACTTTTGAGGTCACCTCGGGTGTAGCTGTGCAGCGATAATTTGAGCGTAGTACACTGTCGCTTGGAACCTCGGTTCGGACAGTGTAGCGGTGCCACCGAACTCCTAGAGAGTCCGCAATCCCAATAGTGGATTGTGTCGGCGACCACGCCTAGCGAGTACTCCTTGCTGCGTCTGAAAGAAAGTTTCTTACCTTGTGCGTTGTGTGGGCTCCAAGATACACACTTCCACGTTCACGCTTGTAGCTAGCTGCTAGCTTGCTTCAGCTCTGTTTTTCACCCACCCACCCACTCCTGGGTGCATATTGTGATGTACTTATGCTGTTGCTTGCCTTTTACTTACGGGCATACTGTGATCTATCTAGTCCATGCTTTAATTCGCTTTGCTTGTACTTGCCTCATCCGTCCATCTTCGGATGATGAGGCTTACAGATCCCAGGTTTTTCAAGACAAAAAGGAGTGCTTGCAGCTGTTCGCTTTGTGCTGTGGAAGTCCAACACTAGGTAATGAACTGAACAAGTCCGCCTTTTGAGACATGCTTGAAAACCCAGGAACCTGAGCGTGAGGCTGCCACATGGGAACAAACCATGTAAGAGGAAAAATCTGGCTGGGATTGGCGTTGCGAGGATGAAACGCGTACTAACAAAGCCACAGCACTGACATTCGGGAGAAGGCAAAAATGTCGCATGATAGACGACTCCACTTGCTGCGGTGTTAATTCCACAACTGGGTCAATTGAGCGGTTCGTTCTCCACTCCGTAGATAAAATGGCCGCGATGCTTTCGCATGCCGTCCCTTTGGACGGTGCCCCCTGAGCAAGCCTTTGTGGATGCATCTACGATGTCAAGAGCGCATACAAGCAATTTCCTGTACGTGAAAACATACAGAGTTGCTCACGTTTCCTGTGCGTGAACCCGGGGTTGATTTTCCCATGGTCTTTGATTTCAACATGTTAGCATTCGGAGCCACAGGTTCCGTAGCAGCTTTCCTTAAGATTTCCGTCCGATTGTGGCAATTGGGCATTCTGGCAATCAGTGTCATGTGGACTGCTTCTTTGGCCAATAAAGTGTCCTCAGCAAGGAGTCTGTTAAAAAAAATGTTGCGTTTGCCATCGTGTCCTTGTTCAAAATACTTGGCCTTAGTTTTGCACAAGAGGGGAGGAAAGCTCCACCGGAAATTCTAGGCCTTCGTGACAAGTTTAATAGAGGTTGGCCATGCGCAAAAACGCGTGGACGACTTGGAACAATTTCTTCCTGACATTTTGGTCGAAAATAAGTTTGATTTGAAAACTTGTGAACGTCTGAGGGGAAATTTGAGTTTGTTGGAAAGCCATTTCTATGGACGTGGCCCTGCGCAGGCACTCAGGACTTTGGAGATGGCTTCCAGGTCTGGTGTTACTTCTCTTTCAGTTACCGCTTTATGCGAAGCGTGCCATTCAGCAATTGCGTGAGCGTCTGACAGCAACCTTGCCCTTGCAACTGTCAGCCAGGTCCTTGCAAGCATGGTACCCTTTCACAGATGGCGTGTGCTCCTGAGACTCGCACGGGTGGGGTAGGAGCCATCCTATACAACGAGAATGGTGCTAGGTTGGCCGCCTTTGAGCCAGCCGTTCCCACCTGGCTCATGGAAGAGCTTTTTCTTTCCTCAGCCAATGCGATATATGAATTGGAAATCTTCCCAGTGTTGCTTGCGTTTCGTGCATGGGGACGAGTATTGGCATTTGCGCAAACAGCTGCATACCTGGAGAACGGCGCTGCCAAGTAGGCTTTCTAAAAATCATCCGGTAGCACAGCCAAGAGTGCTGACATGGTTGAGCACATGGGGCGGCTTGAACACATGTTCCAACTTCGGGTTTGGTATGCAAGAGTGCATACCAAAAGCAATCGTGCCGATGCACCTTCTAGACTGCAACTGGAAGGCCTTGAACGCATCTTGTGTAAGCAAGTTGAGTGGGACGTGTCATGCACTGTGTTATGTCCAGCGGGGGCCTTCTACTGGCAGTGTGGACACATGTGACAAAGTTGTGTTTCAGTGTGATTCTGCAGTTTTGAATACATATACTCAGTTGCGGAATTCATATATGTGTATATATATATATTCAGTTTGAGTAATCATATTTGAGTTGAATAACGCAAGCTACAAATTAATGAAGAAGTCACCACTCCCTGAACGGCCACCTAAAAAGTGATGGGAATTTATTCATGGGTTTGCATTGGAAATTTTATTCGGAATTTCCTGCCTGCGTTTTTCTTGACACTCTATGATTGAATTTCACGTTGGGCTTGAGGAAGATTCATGTTGCAGCCATCTTCCGTCTGCCAGTTGATTGGTGCTGAAAATTATTTTCCCACCTTCCCGCCCTAGGTTGAGCCTTTCGCCTGGGATGTTGGGTTGTGTGGTAAGCCTAGCCCTCAGCTGTAGCTTTCTACTGGCAGTGTATCCCATGTGAAAAATTGTGCCCCAGTGTGACTCTGCAATTTTGAATACAGATATTCAGTTGCTATTTATATATTTATATATGCAGCTTGAGAGTAATCATTTTCCAGTTGAATAACGCAAGTTGCAAATTAATGAATAGACTTATATGGATATCACATGGACGATGATTTGGAGGTACTTTGTGAGGGATGAAGGGGATTTTTTTCGGAAAAAACACAAGACTGGGAAGCCTCTCATACAACGGATTTCGTAAGTTTGATTGTCCGTAGTTCCCCTGCAACGGGAGCAATGATGTTTTGCGCTGCAGACGTAGCCTCCCTAGCGGACCATTTTCAACAGCGGCCGCAGAGGCAATGTGTTTTTGCTGCGCATCAGCATTCCCCCGTAAATTTTTCTTTCGCAATCTTCTTGAGCATGGTGATCCGGCAAAGATATCACTTCACCATGCCATCCCCGGGTCCCTTGGCCTGATCGTGGCCCCAGGTATTTGCACCAGAGCGCATGGACATTGGGGCCATCCCAACCTGGGTTGTTGTGAAGGAACTTAGATTACATGATGATATTGGGTATATATGGTGAATAATCAAGTTGTCCCAATACAGTAGCTTCAACTAAGTTCCTTAACAACAACCCAACAATTTATGTGCATTTTTGGTCGGCCTAGTGCCGACAAGCTCCGCTGGCGACCTGGCTGGAACGCCTGTGCCACATTGCGTTAAGTTCGTATTGTCCGAAATCATTTTACCGTTTTTCATGCACATGCTATGTCAATGAACGATTGACGTACTTGTTGCACTTTTCACTCGTCCCATCTCAGCTTCAAACGATGTTGGTATCAATTCTGGGGCGTCGGCATTCCAGGTAAAAACAGCAGAGTAGGAACAAGGCTGCTTGCAATTTTGCGGATGCATTGTAGTAATCAAACTTGTTCGAATACATAGAAGCATTCTCAAAAGTTTTCACATTATTTATTGTTATGGGTCATGCTAATGGCCGCCGAGTTCCAAGGTTGTTGCCTGAGAACTGCGCATGCTGTTTCAGACATTTGGCAGTTTTGGATTGCGAGTTGCATGAACTAGTCTGAGGTCATTTGCGTGAGTCTTTCAGGCTGTGGTGCTGGATCAGCAGATTTGTTTGCACCATTGGAAAAGTTTTGCAGGCACAAACACAATTTGTGCATCAGGTTTCGCAATGCCCACTAAGCGACCAGTGCCGCTGAGCGATGCGGCTCTTGGACATAGAGGTTCTGTCCTGGCATTGTCATGCGCGGCTAGGATGTGGTGTTTCTCATGTACAACGGTCCATGACAGGTGGCGAGACCAGCAGCGAGCTCGCAATAGGCGAGACAAATGCAACAATCTCAGCAATTCACAATTTTTTGGCCAGAAATGCATTATGCTTGAATTGGCTTTCTTGAGGCTGGTGTGCCCCTTCCCGTAAAGCAGTTTGGCAGCACTTGGCTTCAGAGATTTTATTGTGACTTGGATCCAGTTGTCTTGGGCGGCTCAGGAACACTTTCATTGATATGCCGTCTGGCTTGACGCCAGTAAACTCTCCAAGCAAAGATGCCCATCCGTCGAGTACAGCACCTGCGCAGGCTGTACAATGTCAGCTACAAGCCACTGCTGCAACCACTAGCTCATGCAATGTTTGCACATTGAGTTTTGGATGACTCGCAGGTTCATCTGAGGGAGGGATGGATCGACAGGCCAATTTCATGTCCATGGTCTATGATGTTCCGTTTCTCAGATCTGCTACAGCGAGAGATATGCTCTGAAGTTTCAGGGCCATTGAGCGCGGGACCCTTGATGCCGTTCAGGAGAGCCTTGTTGCAGCCTTAGTTGACCCGTGGTCTGAGCATGTCTGAGCTGTGAGGGTTTGACTGGTTTGGAAGATTTTGGCGTAGGGAGACTTTTGCTGCTGTCAGCCTTTTAGATGATTTTTCGTTTGACATGTGCCTGCCCCGATTGAGCATGAGGGATGCAATCCCTAGACGACATGGCGTGGTGTGAGCGAAGTTTGCCAGTCTTCTCAACGTTTTTGAGGATTCTCCGGCCAACCTCTCCAAAGATCCAGGCTACAGCATCAGTTCGTGGCACTGTAATGTCCTACAGGTACAGGGGGAAATGGGAAGAGCGTTTGCATGAGGCTGTTGCGAATAGGTGAGTGTACGGCAAACACAAGTGCGCAGCGCGCAGCATGGAAATGGCGCACCGCACCCAAAGCCGAAGCTACTGGCCAGGTGCGCCAGGGCTTGGTTCCACAAGTTCGGCACAGCGGCCCGGAAGCCAAGCATGGGCTTAAATATCAACTTCGATATGCCGTTTGTGACAGCATGGGTCCCCGTCCACTCTCATTCCAAAGCTGAGGCCTGGGGGCTTTGTGGCCTTGGCCTTGGTTCAACCTTGGCCGTGTGTGGACCAGATAGCCAATTGCAATAAATTGCAGATAGCGCCCTTGGAGTCTCTCTTGTTCTGTGAGTCCAGCCTCTAGGCAAGCACTCCACTGATGACGCCTTCGCCGACTGGCGCGTCGCTGTTTGGAGAATCGAGGCGCTGCAAGGGACTTCAAAGTAGTCAAGCCGAATGGCAGAGACGCCTTCGAAAAATCACTTGGTTTCTGGCTATGGGATGGCTTAGGCAGGATTGTCTTAATTATGCCCACGAAAGTGCTTAACTGGTGGAGAGTCGTGTGTATGTATTCTCTGTGTGTTTTTGCATGCTTTCAGCCGCTGTGGTCTCGCTTCTTGTTACGCTGTTAATGCCGTCAGGTATCAGCTCTTCGGTGGGCCGCCACCACCAATCAAGGAAGTTGCAGGCTTACATTGGTCCCAGCTATGATGAATCTACGCGTTGAAATACACTTTTTGTGCCTGGCAGCTTTTCAAGCATGATCTTGATGCTGTATAGCCTGTTCAGTCTGCTAGAGATGCTTCTGTGCAGTGTTGCCTGGCCAGGCTTGCACTGCCGGCAAGAGCCCATGGGTTCAAAGGAGCACCAACATCGCACACAGAGTTTTGAGGCTCTAAACTGATGGCTCCCGTGTACACTTGTCATGAATGCTGCTGCCTACCGGCCTGCCATTCATAGGTGATTGAATGTTATCCCCTTCCAATCGATTGCATCCCTGAAGTGAAGTGTACATCCCAGACTTGGTATGTCTCAAATTCAGCGCCGCAAACTCAACCTGGTGCCTGCCAGATTCATGATCCCGGAGAAGCAAGCGAAACAGAGTTCATGTTGCTTTGAGATTGTAGTCCCTACAAATTACAAATCCTTGCAAACTTTGCATGCAATCACCGCAAATGCCTCAATAACCTCATGCACCTCCCAAATGGTAGTTTCCGAAGATAAGGGGACCCTAATATAGACCCCAAAATACTATGATTCTGCAAATGGGAACTCCCTATAAGGTATCCCTACTTTTGGGAAATCCCCCAAACGAACTGAGAACTTTTCCATCTGTCCGCTGAGGTGTCACCAGCACCGGCTCTGAGCCGCAAGCCCAGCTCGCTTATAGCAAAGGCACCCTCTTGGTCATAGGGAAAGCCCCTGTTGTTGGGGTTATCTTAGGGTTATCTTGGGGTTATCTTGGGGTTATCTTGGGGTTATCTTGGGGTTATATTGGGGTTATCTTAGGGTTATCTTGGGGTTATATTGGGGTTATCTTGGGGTTATCTTAGGGTTTTATTGGGGTTATACTGGGGCTATATTGGGTTATATTGGGGTTATATTCGGGCTATATTGGGGTTATATGGGGATAATGGAACTCTGCTATATATACATATACTTCCCCCAACGTACCCACTAACAAGCAACGTATTCCGATAAGAGTAGGTATATTGATGACCATTTATCATGGTGGTAGGTGCAGGGTGGGGCAATTTTTCTGGTTTTTGTAATCTGGGGGAGGTCACATAGTACCGTGTGATGACAGCAAGAGTGCAAATTTAAAAGAGAAATGGCAAAGACAGTCGAAATCATCATGGGCGTCATGGTTGATGCACTACTGGCAATGAAAACTGGTAATGATAGCCACCGCTTCTGCCAGTATTAGTTTGTCAGCAAACAATCTCTGGCAAGGAGTTGGATTTGATGAATGATAGCATGCATTGAGCATCAGGGTTGAGAATCTAAGTGCAGCTGGGTGACACCTGGGCGATCCAAGTGAATCCCGTTTGCCCATGCTTTGAGCCGGGTTCCAAACTTTCCTACTTTCCACTGCAACGTTTCTGATTTTTCATGCTTGGTCCGTCTCTGCTCTGAGCACGGCAATGTCTAGCAGCGCCGCTTCTAATGAGGCCAGCCGCTGCAGAGTGCGCCAGCCCCTGGTCTTGGCGAACTGCTGGACCCGCATCCGCTGCTGCTATCGGTGCCTCCGCCCAGTCAGGCTCCGGTAGCAAGAAAGTAGGTTCTAGTAGCTCAAAGTCTTTCCCAAATATTTGGTAAGCTGAGCATCCCGGACTGCAGCAGGCACCTCCGCCACAACATCATCATCTTCCGCCGCCTTTGTATGCTGGAGGGTTCGGTGGAGCCCCGCCTTACTACGACTACAACTTCCTTGGACCCCCAGGCAGGGCAGAGCTTGGTGCTGTGTTTTCTCACGAACCCGTTTTGTGACATGAGGAGCACGAATATCCGAGCCTTTTGGAGTTCAAGACTTTGGTCGCCGCAATTCGCTGGAAAACGACAGTGATGACGACGGTGACTCAGAGGCCGAGCGGCAACAGGCCGGCAGGGGTGAGCCACCCATCTACCTCTTTCCCCAGTCTCAAAACACTTCTAATGTCCGAGACAACATCGACCATTCTGGCTCTTGCAGTTTAACTTTGTGAAACATGTGCTCAGAAGGTAGCAAGATTTGAATTGAGACATGGCAAGTCACGCATGACACGAGAGACGAGGCTAGGCAGTCCATGTAGCCCCTTTGTCTCAGGCGATGCGCGCAGCTTCTGGCATGACTGCCGAGAACGCACCGAAGCCGCCGCCTGGGGCGGAACATCCGCTCGGGGTCCCAGCAACAGAGTAAGGCACGCCGTTCATAGTGTGCAGGCGGAGCATCTTTCAATCTCTCAAGGCCTTTGTTTCACGGCAGTGCTACACCTGCAGCCCCACCTACTAAGATATATAGAGTTCAACACAGGCACATGCTTGTCTCCACTAAGTGCTGTCGCAGATGGTTATGTCTAAAGATGCGGCTCCCTGCATGCTTGGTGATACAAGTGGAGATACCACTGAAGGGCCCCAGAAAATGGATTCAACATTGCAATGCAATCAGCATTGGGATATACACTCCCATCTCTACCAGGTCACTGGGATCTGCTTTTCACGATAGTGGAAGCTGCAAAAGATGCTGCTTCTATCCACGGAACAGGCCTCTTGTTGGCATGTACTGTGGGGTCATGTAACTGCGCTGTAAACTGTTTCCGCCGCAGGTGTCTGAACGGGTATGAGTGCGAGTTTTGTCATTACGAGCACGAGAAGCGAAAGCGGAAGAACAAGAAAAACAAGAAAAAGAAGGCAGGACCATCGTGCTTGCTTTGGTCACGTCAGCTTGTGTGCAAGCAGCACCAGATCCACTGAAAGGCTGGTGAACACATGGAGGATTACTATTCGGCCGATGCAGTCGCACACATGTGCTGGTCTCAGAGCATGCTGGAATTAGAATGGATTAAGGCCCTGTTTGTTTGGGTTGCAGGTAGGAGAAGTTAATTCACCTCTTGTGGCTGACCCAGGACTGACCTCCCTTGGCAACCGGCGCCAGCGCCTCATGCGCACGTGCCGGCGGCTTTGCCCTTGCCTTTGCCACATCATGTGCCACCTGAATATCCGGAATTTGCGGATGGACCGCTGACATACCAGTGGACCGATGGCACAGTTGGGCAGACTCCTTCTCCCCCAGTCATCCCAGGCTATGAACGCCTGGTTGCGGCTGCAGTCCAGAGGGTGCAGAGAGCAAGTGCACCTCACAGGGAAGGACCTGCACTTGCCACCAATCCTCCACCAAACCCAAACCAGTACGATGCCTATGACCGTACCAGCCCTGGCTTTCACCCTGGCTACGAGGCACCACCTCCTGGTCCGACGTACCGCCCTCCACCACATGCGCATCCACACCCACTTCCCCCGCACCCGCATCCGCATCCGCATCCCACTCTTCCTCACCCACATCCGCATGGCCTTGACCCTGCGGCAGCGCCGTGGCACCCCCCGCCATTCCCGTCAGCAGCAAGCAATGGTACGGTCCGTCCACTTCCTGACATCATGTCGTACCCTCCGCCGGCCGCGAAGCCACCCCCAGAAGAACATCGTCTGGCAACCATTGAGGAGTTGGGCCTCCCACCTGTTGGCCAAGATCCCCGGCCCTTTGACCTGCTGACTGCCCCGGGTCCGCAGACCCCTCCCGCCCAGGCACAGCTCGCAGAGCCCACGCAGCCTGCACCGGCTGCCCAAGCTGTAGAGCCCGTGCAACCCATACAAAGCCCAGCCGGAAAGCCTACGCCTCTCTTGGTGGAGAAGGTTGCCAACCAGGCAGATGACCTTGCTCCCAATATGCCTCCACCTCCTGATCAATCGCCCAAGCTCAGCACAGACCTTATGGCGACCATTGAGGGCCCCCCTCCCCCTGATGAGAGCCCCACATGAAGGCAGTGTGGTTGCGTAGATGGAGTTTCATATCGCGGTGTGGCTTCCGCTAGCTCGCAGCACCTTGCTGGGCCGGGGGTTTTTGAAAAATTCCGTTTAGTTACATCCAGAGCGCCGGGTGTGATTTTTCGTACCTGCGCAAATTGACCTGGATCTAAATGCCTGCTGGCACAGACCCTGCCAAAGTCCATGGCTTTAAGCTGTATCTTTGCGAGCTTACGCACAATTAGTACAAAACCTTCGCCCATCTATGAGCGGGGTTCGTGCTGAGCGAAATAGGATTATAGCCAGCTCCGCAGTTTGCTGAAAAAGGAGTCAGGGCTGAGACTGCAGTGCATGATTGACTCCCTGAGTGCAAGCATTTCGATACAAATGCCGACTATCTGCTGGTGGCTGCCCCTTTGAGGCTGTAGCAATGTTGCTTCGCCCTAGCCCTGTACAGTTTGTCATTGCACGATACCTGCCACCAGGAACTCCGCTGAACTCATGATTTGGAACGGGCACGCGCAGCACGTTTGAAAGCGCCTTCTTTAGGCCACTGCCATTTGCAGGCCTCTGGTACAGACCTTGCATCGTAGGCATGCCATGATCGATGTAGTCGGGGTGAGATGTGATTTGGATCCCGGGAGACTATTGCAGGGAGTTCGTCATGTGGTATTCAAATGGTCGCAGAGCCTGCTGGTTCATGGGAGCTGCAGGGGGCTCATCATTTCAAGCAATAGGGTGATCGCGCGTGAACATAGCAGTGAAGCCCAGGTGTCGCTGTGGCCCACTGAGCGGCGACAATGTGAGTGTCCTGCCCCCTGTTGTGGAGTCCAGCCTTGCCAGGCTTGAAAGGAGAATCGTTTTGGGGGCCTGTCAGTCTGTCAGGTAGGTCTCCTGCCGGCAGCCTGGCTGAGCCCGGTCCTGAGGCAACCAGAGGGCTGCGCAGATCAATCCCAACCAAGGTGCTGCAACACTGGAGCAGTACCAACAGGCTGCTGCAAAGAGGCCACACCATTCCAGAAATTCAGCCTGTCACTTGTAACGCCTTGCCCCATTGCCTCTAGAAAACAAAAGCTAGGAAAACCGCACATTCGCATGATGAAAAGACAACATCCTGGTTTGTTGGAAGACGTATTTTGCCTACCTCGGGATAAAGACTTCTGCTAAATCGCTTTTGAAGGTTAGCAACAGTTTATCCAGTGATATAAACGGTCACGTGCGAAACTGCGAATGATCCTAGGTGAGCTCTAGACACATCACGCAGTCTAGCAGCCTTTTTCTACATTAAATCTCCATCTTTCGAACGCATGCAATCGGTGTTGCGCAGAGGTCTAGCAGCTGCAGGCCGCTGTTGGGACATAGCCCGCAAAATCCCGCCGAGAGCCTCATCCTGCCTTTGCGTGTAGCTGACAGCAGTTGTCACAGCATGAATGGAGACATGCGTAAGCACTACTAACAGGCAGGTATTCATAGTGGACATCTTCACGCAAAGACTGGTAGCAGCAACCATGAGCTTCACAAGAATGACAACATGCACGACATTCCTGACAATAGTAATGATACCCGGTTTCTATTGTGCTGCACTTGCTTTTCTTTTCAAGGCCCACGGCTCGGGCCCGCGTTATGAGCCACCCGTCTAAAAATCCCAAACAGAGTCACAGTCGTGCTGATGATGCCTCCGATCATAGAAGCCTCTGTAATAGTGATGTTCTTTCTACTTTCGATGGTCTTGTGGGGGGTTTAAGGTCTTCTTGTCCCTTAGTTTCCAATTAGGGGGTTGAAATCTACGTGGGCTGGGGGACCCCCCAAAATCGAGCGAAGCCACTTTTGACCCTTCCCAAGCGTCAGCCGAGCATCCGCGAATCCACAATGTCAAGCCCACAAGAACGCATCCTGACGCCAATTGGCAATGTTGCAGCTTTGTGACCTGGCGTAAGCCACTGCAAGCTCGTCTATGTCGGATGGGCCGCAATGAGTTCTAATGCTGTGGCGTTGCCAGCGAGCGTAACGAAACGGTTTCAGCTTGGCACGCTGCAGCTTTAGAACAAACCTGGCATCCGTTCCTACAGAGTTTGAAGCGCTCCAGCGTAACAGGGAAGCTGCCTGTGCCTAGATTCCTCCCAGTCAGCCGCAGCATGGCCCCAAGTTTCTTTGGACAGACATTGAGGCCATGCATTTGCTGGCTTCATTGCAGTAGCTCCAGCACTGCGAGAACCTGACATTTTGGACATAGCCGAAGCAACCCGGAGTGTGGCCAGAAGTGCTTAGAGAGTGCTTGCAGCACCGCAGCAGCGAACCGAACCTCTCCTTCTGGGACCCGGACCTCGAGTGTCCGCCTGCAAGTCAGCTCAGCCAGCCTTTTTAAGGCACTCACGTTTTAGGATTTCAGGGTGCCCAGAGGGTTTCCTTTTCCTTTGATCATCCTACACGCCCCAAAGGTTCGTGGACACTAAATTGACGCCTGCAAGAGAGCATCCCACTCTCCCAGATTCAAAAACTACGCAGATGTGCATCTCGAACCAGCACCAGGCCGAATCTCTATGCTGCCGCGCATGCTATCTACCAGGCCGTTATCGTTATTCCCAAGATGTCATGGTGCAAGTTGACCTGCAGGAGTTTTGGGCGTGTCAGCATTGTTTGGCGGTAGATGCGGCAGTTGCTCCCCTCCAGGCCTTGCAACAAGAGGAGCAGCACGGCGAGGACGGTGTTGACAAGGTTTCAAGGTGATTTCTCGTGAGGTTTTGCGGCTGGGGATCTTCAAGGCAGGGTTTTTTCGGCATTGAACTGGAGGCCTTGGGGCCCTGTATAACACCAACTAATTATATTGTTGTGCCAAGTTTTTGTTCCGAACCATAAAAAAATGGACTCTAATTTTTGGAGACCTTTTAGGTTTCTGCCCGGAGGAAGCTGAGGAGGCTGACTTTTTGCAATTACTGATGGGTATCAGGAGAGATTTCCAGCGTACGGGACAGTAGAGAAAACGAGAGCCACTATATCATTTAGGATTTAGGGTCTGGGGTTCGGGGTTATTCGGGAATTCAGGAACATGATGATGTTTGGGCTACTTTGGGGATCTGTCCCTCCATTCCCTATACTAATCTGCAATAAGATTGACTGTGCAGGAGTCCAGGCTTGTTGCCAGCTGCATCCCTGGAGTCTTCACAGCCCTGACAGCCTAACACCCAGGGGGCGTGACTTGCAGACCTCGAAGCTTTTGGTACCGCAGCTGCTCTAAGGGAGCTTTCGGAAGTTTGGACTTTGTGCGCTCCTAGTTAGGGTCCCCCCTGTCATCTCTGTGTGACACCAAGCACTCCGTGATACCCAAGTGCTGGAACCAGCAGCCTTATGAGAAGCAGAACCTCCACTGATCTGATTTCCAAGGCGATGCTTCTGCTGTCAGGGCCCTGGCTGCTCCACCAGGGCCAGCCCTTGCTGCACAGAACTCTTCCCTCATGTACTTGCACGATCTTCCAGGAATTCTTTGCCTTATTCTGTTAGCAATAGGGACGAAGCTAAAGCCTGCTTTTGTTCTACTCCGCCGCTGAATCAACCGTCGATGGGTGGTTGCTTTCCGGGGATCTATCTGCAGAGGCACAAAGCTGATGAATCCTAAAACGCAGTGCTCATCCGCCTCGGCCACGATGCACTTGAAGACTGCGCAGGAGTCAGGAATGTCACTGGGCAAGTTTTGTGGGGTTACAGCCCTGAGCCCCGCAGCATGTCGTCGGGCCTCTTTGCCTTCTACTGCCAGGAAGCAATTCATCCTCCCTTTCAGAACATGTCGCGACAGCAAATAGCTTTTTCAGTAAAGTTGAGGGCTGAGATTCTTTTGCAGCGTGTCGATGGCAGTTAGCAATTTTGAAGCGCAGGAGGTAAAGGCACATGCAGGTTCTGCAGAGGTCACAGAGCTAAGGGTGGGGCATCTGTAGTCTATGTGTATCACATGTTACTACTGCCCAGTGCTGGCACAAAGCCCACCTTCAAGTGACTAGTCCCAGATCTGTCAGGGCCACTCTGGCTTTCCCTTTAGGGTCGGAGACAAGCCTGCCGCGGGCATTGCCTGAGCTAAAACAAAGCAATGGCAGGAAGATTGCTACAGAAGAAGACCAGTGCTGGGTCAAGGGGTTTATAGAGGGGGAGAAATCAAGAGCCATCTGGTAGAATGGCTGGGCGAATTTAATGAAGTGTAGCATAGGATACCACCAAAAAGTATCATAGAAGGGGACTCTGCAGCAGCTTGGAATAGTCTCAATAGCTTGAGACATTGTCACTGCTGAGGTGGGAGGCTCACGACGCCCCAGACTCGCTCTTTGACACGGTGTCAGCCCTGGACTTGCTTCAATTTGGATGATTCGGTTAAATCATCGAATATCTTTGGAGTAGTTGTGAAGTTGCATGGCATTTGCTTCGGGTTGGCATGTGTCATGTGTTCGACGTGGTACGAAAGCAAGAGTCCTGCACCCTGGTGCTGCAACATAGAACCGACAATTACGTCTGGCATCCACGCACCGAAGGTTTGGATGGAGCCAGCTACGAGGAAATCAAGCTCAGACAACTGATCAGCGCATTAAGCAAGGCCCTTCACTCCTTGCTCATGCTCGAAAGCTCTACCGTGGCACCGGCAATGGCGGCACTGGGAGTTGCGGGCGTGCTGGACCGAGGGCTGCCAAGAAACGACACCCAAGTGAACACTGTCATCGCCAATTCTTTCGGATTACCAATGCATAGATTTGTAGATCGTACATCTCATCAAATACGGAATAATGTCTTTTCCTGCATCATGCTGGCCTGTGAGGATTGTGCTGCTTATGGCACAGCCCAGGACGGCTGGTGGCCTGGTGCCGGGAGCCTCATCACTTGCTGCAGAGATTGGGTTGACTTTGTGAGACATGTTGTTGTCTCCACACTGTTGCTAAGGTCCTGGATCTGCGTTGGTTTCGTCGGTTGACCGGCCGGCTGGGGCGGTGGTTTGCTCAGCTGGCAATCTTCAGCATACCTGCACAGCTGGCGTTGTAAGTTGTGAATATGGGTTCTGGCCAGGAAGCGAATGGCGTGGCAGACACTGGTAGGCAGCCAAGGGGTTTGCAGCTAAAATGCTCCTAATGAGCCGGCAGCATGTTGGCCAGGACAAAATCTCCAAGAGCTTGCTTTGCCGTCTGTTTGATACGGCTGTGGGCCTGAGGTTGAGACCGGCAAGGAGCCCTGGCATAATCGAGAGGTGCTGCCGGGGCCAGTTTGTGTTGAACTTGAGCAGGCTTTCCATACTTGTAGCTTTGGGGGAAACTTTGGAAGATGTGTGGAGGTGGAAGAGCGCCAGTCGTGGATGGAGGCGTGCAGCAGCCACATCTGCAGAACCCCGGGAGTAGACGGAGATCTCTGGACACATGTGCTGCTTGGAGCTTTTTGTGTAAGTTGCATTTTTTGGGGAGGAAATCTCCACAGGAGAAGAAGTTTGGCTTTGAGTCGAGAAGAGAGGAGCCTGGCGCCTGGGGCTGGGCACTGCAGACAGGCAATGTATCAGTGTGAGCTGATCATTTCTAGACAGAGAGGTTTGAGCCCTGAGGTCGGCCAGCCTCTGCTTGTGCGTCATGCACGGCGAGGGTGCGAACACGCTAAAGTCGACACTTGAGCAAGACACCTGGAGAGTGTTTTCCCAGGAAGCTGTCAGGCTTGTGTTTGTATCTTCAAAGGCCAGGAATCCTGATCCTGACTCCTGATCAGAAAATACATGATGCTTGCCTTCGGCGCCTTAATCAGGTCCTACGAAGATGGCGGCCTGCAACGGCCCGAGCTTTCACACTAGACGCTAGCTGGTCCTGCCCCACGCAGGGGTCTCCAAAAATTAGGGGCCCACTGTTGAGAGTCCATCATGATACGGAGCACATAATTCAACATTATTTTGGGGTATCAAAGGGTGGTGGACCTTTTGAGGCTTGAGATGGCTCGCCGCCGTTACATCGCCTTCCTGGCTCGCGCGGAGCTGGAGGAGCCTGCGCCGCTCTGAGTTGGAAGAGTCGGAGGAGTGGGGAGCGTGCTAAGCATTCAAGGATACGTAGACCTTTCTCATGGACTGCCAGTAGATTTGAGAAATCCTTTTGCACTCTGTTTTGCGATTGGTGGAGTACTTATTTGAGCTTCTGTTGAGTGGGCATCAGTCGTAGACTCTCCACCGAGCTCGGTTTCAGGTACTCATAATAATGCGAAGACATTGGAATGCTGAGAATCGGGCTGTGACGGTTCGGATATTACTAGATGCTTTGCACTTTTTCCGGAGATAGCGGTCACTGTGATTGAAGTTGATTGATGCTGTCATTTTTTGGATTTTAAAGCATGACAGGCTGCTCACGTGTTCCAGCACCCTTGTGAAGTCTGTGCTTGCGTGTGCGATCTGTTCCACCAGACTAGACTACTAGACCAGCAAAAGCGGATCAAATTTACCTGTAGACTCCAACATACAGTTTCCGTTTCCCTGTCCATTTTCTTTTCCATTGGATTCTCCATTTTTGGGGTTATATATTTGCAAAGCCATGATCCTAATTTGCATGGTAGTTTCCGTTTCCTTGTCCATTCCTATTATATAACCCCATATAATCCCGAAATACTGGCTATATACCCTTATTCATTCTTACGCAACCTTCAGGGAGCATGCTAGCAGACATCTGCGCACGATTTCTATTTCGGGATTTCATGGGATTTGTATAGTAACAAATTGAAACTACTGTTTATTCCTGGTGTCCTTGCAAGCATTGCACTCTTTGTTGGTTGGGATCTCTCGCAGGGTTTGGCACTGAAAACAAAGTGGGCTTAGGTGAGCTGCTGGCGGCGGAAGGCCCGTCACCGGACTTTGATCGGCCTTTCGTCCTTCTTGAGGGCTGGTCTCTTGTGCTTAGGTTCCGTTTTAGGTCGTTTCCTGGCGGCTTCTTCAGGGAGCTTCCCAAGAGAAGCAAAGGGGGATGAATGCATCAGAAGATCTGTGATTGATGCCTTGCCGCGCCCTGCGTCCTCTGCAGATCGCGGAGCGGTTTGGCCTCGAGCTTTTACCAGAGTCCTCTTGGCCGGAGCCGTTCATCAGGACCTCTTGAAGATGGTTTAGCATTCCGATAAGGCACTAGGTTTTGCAGGCAAATTTGAGACAGTTTTGTTTTGTAGTGCTGAGCTGCAGGAAGCGCCAGAAGTCTGGGGATCCAGGCAGGAGAGAGTTGGCCTTTTTCGTTCCTTTGCTAACGCCCTTTCCTGGCCTTGCCAGTCCTGTAGCGCAACAAGCTCTATAGGATTGGTCAAGCACTGCAGGAAATGCATCCGAGCAGTTGTCTTTGAAGTCATTGGGAGCTCAAGAGTTATCTTGCATTGTTGACTGTTTGGATTTGCAGGTGCCGCCATGGCAGCCTGCGCTGTGGCATGTGACCAGGTGGGCCAGCTTCATAAACCTCTATGATAGAGGTAGCAGCCAGCAAACAGTGCAACAACCGCAACAAGTAGTTATAGGTGGGTCCTGCCCCAACCAATTATGTTTAGAGTTCAGAGTGATGGCAGCACCGGACCGGATGGCTCGTTGAATTGCAGGAGTACGTGCTCTTCTTGGAGGATGACTTCAATCTCGTGACAAGGTGACGGAAACCTTGCGTGCAGGGTTGGCCCTTCGGGGAGTACTGTTGTGTAGATGTTGAGCACAGGATCTTAGAGGCTAAGGGCCTGCTGGCCATGTTGTCTGAATCTTCTTGTGCGCTTTTAGCTGGAGTACAGGGTTCGGCAAAGCTCTTTAGACAGAGAAGCTCCTTAAGCTTTCCTGGAAGGCCGGCCGAGCTCGTTCGTCATCGTCTTGAGGCAACTGGCAGTAGCCAAGAGTCCCTGCCTGCTGCCTTGTAGATGGATTCCAACCGAAGGCCATTGGCCAAAGGCCATAGGAATGATGACGTGCAAAAAGAGAAGCTGAGAAGACCAGATTGAGGCGGCTATGCTTGCATTGGACGCCAGCAGGCAGGCCTGGGGCTCGGTGCTTCCAGGCTTCAGATGCACTTCAAAGGCTCTCCGAAATCCAATTTGATAGAAGTCATTGGAGAACAGCTTCAGAGACCGTTGCTTCTCCTAAATCTTGAAGCGCAGAGCCTGAACCATTGATAACCCCTTCGTACTTTTGATGCGGTATACTGTGGCAAGTTAAGCGTGGATGCAAAGAGCCTGGACCCCTTAAGACACCTTCTTCCACTGATTGCAAGAGACAGAAGGCCCCGGGCCGTGCAGCTGTTCTTGGTGTGCATGGCTCCCAGCGAGCTGGTTCAAGCGTCTGGTTCAGCTGTCACGTGGAAATTCAATGCCAAATAGGGTTCAGTAGGGTTATATGTGGCTTTAGGAATTTCCGATGTACGTGCTTCCAGACTGGCTTGGGAGTGCATATTGGCTCCTTCAAGACGGCTGGCAGCAGTGAGTTGCTGCGTAGACAACTACAAATGGACGGGTTCATTTTCATGAGGATTCTGATGTTATAGGGCCTGAGCTTGGAGGATGTGTTGGCAGGTTTTTCATGATGTCTGGACGCGTGTCCGTCTTGATCCTGCTTAATTATGTCCGACACAGCATGTGACGGCTAGAACATGTGCCACCGTCCCCCGCTTTGGTTTTGTGAAGCTCCTGCACGTCCCACAGCGTTGCAAGCACACATACAGTGTTATCTTACTGGCATTAAAAAGACCGACGCCGGATACCTTTGCTTGTTCCTCCAGGCATCTGCGCCACAAGCTTTTCTTCGGTCCGCCCTTCTACGCCTCTCGTTGGAAATGAAGTTCATGCTCGTTCCACGCATAGCATGTCAACAAGCATGGTCACGCTTGCAATTGTTTTACATGTAGCTATAGCGGCGATAGGTAGTGACAGCGAAATGTGCATTGCAAGCAGTTTTGATATACGAGTACAGTTTCGAAGTTTGGCTGTAATCCAGAAAAGCGAACATGACCTGCCATGTGCGGGTTGTCTTGGGCCTCTGAAAGGAGATCTTGACCGCGCGCCAGCATGGCGAACCTCCGTCACCTTACACGGTCCCTCTGCCATGTTTCCCCACAAGGAAAAGCATCCCCCTCCGATATCGAGACAAAAGTGGTAAGAGGCGAGCCATGGAGTTGCAGTCTCACTAGATTGGAATTATGGGTTGAGGCATTCTGGTGAGTCCTGCTGCAGGCATGGTACTTCAGCTCAGATCCCGTGGAGCATGGCTTTCCCGACAACTTGTGGGCCTGGCCCAAAGACTCAGCCTTGTACCATGTTCAATCGAACTTGCTGAGCGGGACGGCGAGACTCTTGACTCCGCAGCGTTTTCTGGGAAGCTTCCGTAAGAGGATATGCCCAACTTGAGCAATGCACCTCTTCAGACCACGCCCTTGCAATTTCTACAGCGCTCAGCCCTACGCAGGGAGCGGACCTTGCCTTCTGATCCTGAGGAACCTCCTTTCTGGGACTCTGGCAAAGAGTTCAACCCTCGGTGACTGATTGCGTGCAGTTCTACTGAACTCCACCCATATGTATAATCCAGAATCCTATAGACCTTTGATGGTGAAAGGATGCTCATTATTTTGGGATATGGGAGTTTCCTGAAATTAGGGGTCCCTTGTTGGGGGTTCACAAAATGTGGACTATACATCAGGGGCCTCCTAGTTTGGGAAAGTACCAGATGACCACGAGCAGGCCTGTAGCCTTTGCCTTGGGGTTGCAGCTGAAGGTGTGATTCCGATAGGAATTCCTGGTACAAGACCTTGCCCGGAGCTCAGACACTTGACATCACTTGAAATCTGGCTAAACATGATCCCTTGATGTGAGCACTCTAAAGGCACCCACGATTATGAGGAGCACCCACTCCAGTGAGAGCCGAGGCATTACCAGAGAGAGCCAGCGTTTGCAATCGAAAAGTTGGCACCTCGGTGCCAGTTAAGCGGTTGTCTGTGTGTGCTCCAGGGCACGGACAGGTACCTTTTTCCAAAGAACCCGCAAAAAGACGATCGAAAGTAGGTGTGGGAACTCGCGGTGACAACTGTGTCTACACATGAGTGTCGAAAGATGTACTCCATGCTTACGATGGACTACGCCACTTAAAAACTGCATGACTCCAACTGAGCCTGACATGCGCTACGGCTGAGGACATGTCCAAACTGCACACACGCACTCCCCCTTTGGTGCTTAACCCGCACCAAACATTCAGTGTGTGTCCTCAAAACTTCTCCAAGCTTGGCTGCTCACTCGAGGCGAACTTCCAGCTCAGTGCACCCAATCCAAGAGAAATGTATGGCAGCTCGGCCATTGCTCCCCTTCCAGTCATCAAGATGAAGAACGCGTCCGTAGGGGGCACCCTCTGTCACGTCAATCAGCCAAGTTCTCCGTCTACCGGTGAACCTCGTCACAGCTACAGGCAGCCGTGTGCCCTCCGGCACGAACAATCGCGCCCTTGTGGACACATGCCAACGCAACACGGTATGAGGATGACTCGCTCGGTACTCATATCGATCTTGCCCGACAGGATTCAAAGCTAGGGTAAGGACCGCAGGCCAATCCACAAATTCTCTATCCCGAAACTGAAACACGGGTTGCGGAGTGCTACGTCTTCTCCTTGAGGCTGACGCAGTCGGCAATGGGGCTCCTGGCCCCTCAGGGGCGGTCAACACTTCCATCGCCTGCTCCGCTTGCGACTCTACACGGTGCCGTGGTCCAATAATCATCACGTCATCGACATGGTGGAACACATGTAGTCCAGTGTCTTCCGCAGCGTGGACAGCTTCAAGTTCCATGCGACAACGTGCAATCACCAAAAACTTGACTATGACCCTATAGCAACCACTACCACAAACCCTACCTAAAAACTTAAGGAGTTCCCAAACACAAACAACTATTACAACAAATCCAAGCAACTGCTTCCAGCTCTCTGCCTGAGTCGGGCCACGGTTCAACTCCGTTCCAGTAACCATTTCCCGATGAGCGTCCACGGGTTGAAGCAAACTTGCAACCACCAGACTCACCAAAAGAGCCTTAATCCTATCATCACACCCAGCTTGGTGTCCCACGTTCTTGGTCACTTCTGACATCCCCAGAGACTGCACCAGCTGTTGAAACCTCACCGCTGGAAGGGGCTTCGTTCCAACATCGGCTTTCATGCTGGAGCCGCATACATGGTGCAGGCTATACTTACCTGACTCCAGAACCTCGCGCACAAAAGAAGCGCGGATTCGCAAGTGCCGGGTGCGCCAGTTCGACGAGGATGTGGTGCAGATAGCTATAGCCGCTTAGCTATCCGAATGCATTTGGAGCATCACGGGTGTGCCGTTGATCTCATTCACCAACGGCTCCAGAGCCTGAAGCTCCGTGAACAACGAAGTAATCCCAACCAGTTCTGACTCCGCTGTCGACAGCGTTGTCAAACCCTGTCCGGTGGACGACCAACCTATTAGCGCTCCGCTGTAGAAGACAAGGGTGGCTTGGAGTGATCTGCTGGATGACGGAGCGAAGCTGGCATCACAGAACCTGCTTCCCATGGGAACGGAGAGATCCCCCTCCTCGCCCCATACCATTCCCGCCACCTGGTACCAGAGTCCTCGGTCCGGGTAGCGCCTCAGGTATTTGATGACTTGCTCTCCCATTCCAACAGCTTCCTCCGCATTGACAGAGATCGTCCTCGACAGTGCTCCCACCGCAAACTGAATCTCTGGCCGGGTGAGTCCACTCAGCCACAGAAGCTCCCCTGCTATCTGCTGAGCACGTCTGACAGTCCTGGGGTCCTGCTGGGCAAGCGGCACCACTTCCGGCAACTTAAGCGCAGGGACTTCGCTCCCACCCTTATCTGGATACCTAGATAGGATCTCCCGAGTATACGACCCCTGATGCACCCATATTCCGCCTTCCCCTCCCTGGACTTCCACACCTCTGTAATGGACGTTTCCTTCGTCCAAGAGCTCAGGTCGTGAAAGCTCCCACTGCTTGCCCAACTGGTCTATGACTTCTGCAATCACCTGAGGCGTGCTCAACACCATCATGTCATCAACATACACCAGCAGCAGCCCAAGCCTCTGCGCAGGATCAATCGGCTCTACAGCATCTGCTGGCACGATAGCCCAAATGTTGCCATCCGACTTAAACGGCAGTAGTCGCACCACTCCCAGACTCGTAGTCAGCCTGAGAGTCGGTAGGGTGCGATCGCGGCATCGGGACCAAGCTGCTGGGCTGATTTGTAGGCCGTAAAGTGCTCTACGAACGTCCCAGAAAGTTTCTGTGCAGATGCCCAAACGTCTCCACAGGCCCGGAGTACGAATGATCACTTGTTTAGTGCCGAGGTCCTCCTTTTCCAATTCCGCGTTCAGAAAGGCGGTTTTTATATCGACAACGCCTGCCGACCACTGCATTTGCACCATGAACACCAGGCAGCAGCGAAGGGAAACAACGTCCAAGCCCCCGGCGTAAAGTTGGTTGGCGGTGTAAGTGCCTGTCCCTAAATAGTTTCCGCGCCCTACGCAGCGCACTTTGCGGCGCGCCGTAAACGCTTTCAAGGTAAAGATAAGTTTGGCCGGAATGACCTGAATGGCTTCACCAGCCGCTTCCCGTCTGGCCAACTCCTGTGCGGTAACTGGGGCCACCACTTGTTTCTCCTGCGCAAGGGCCTGATATTCGGCCAGCGTCGGACCCCACCATCCTTCGATGTCACGAAGAACCTCTTCCGCAGAGATTATCTTTGTCTGGAGAGGTGCGCCTGACGCCCCTTCGACTTCAGCCTGGCATCCCACATCCTCCTGAAGTCTACTAAGCCGGGGGGCAAGTTCGGATCCAGGCTCCTGAGGGGCTAACCCCCATTGTTCACAACACTGATCTGCGAGCTCCTGGATCAAATCCTGCTCCAGCTCCACCACTCTGTTCAGCTCTTGAACTTCCAGGCTACAATCACTTCCGTCGTCTGCGATTTCCATCACTGTCTGGCGCAACGACTCACATAGTCTCCGCAGCTCGACTATTGGTCCAGGCGCTCTCCGCGCTCTCCCGGGCTCCACGCTCAGCGGAAGTTCATCCACCACCAAATCCGCTTGCAGTGTCCTTGAGTCCTTCTTCTCCCGCAGTGCCTTGCATACTAGGACCGTCAGGGGCAGGCTGCAGATGGTAGCATCTCTGTTAGAGAAGTCGCCCCTTCGGTCAGCGCAGTCATTAGGGATTGGGCTAAATGTTAGGGGTTCGGTCACAGATTCCAAACACTGGGAGGTATCCTCAGGTCTAAACCCTAAGGGTTCAGGTCCAAACCCTAGGGGTTGAGGTCTAAAGCCTAGGGGTCGGGGCAATGCACTGTCAAGGGGATCACTGTGGCTCACGCTCTGCTTACATCGACTACCTAAAGACATGTCTAAAACCGACTCGGCGCCTGCCTTCCCTTCGGCTTTGTACTGACCTGAAGGGTCAGCGGCTGCCTTGCCAATCTGGGCCTCATCTTGAGCAACGCTAGAGCACTCACTGCGCCTAGTCTGTCCCTTATGACCCGAACCCGTTCCGGACTACGCGGAGTCATTCCTTGAGAGCCACTATTGCCTGCTTGACCTTCGGCGGAATCAAGATTCTTCTCCCCCTCAATCAACCCTGGCATCGTTTCAGGCACGAATGCTGAACCTGACATATCGTTGTGGTCACCTACGGAAGTGCCTAAACCTGGCATGGCTGCTGGAGTACGTGCGGAAGCCTGTGCGATGCCTGTACCTGGCATGGCTGTTGGAGTACTGCGGAAGCCTGTGCAATGCCTGAACCTGGCATGGCTGGGAGCCTGCTGAACCTGGCATGGCTGACGGAGTACCTGCGAGCCTGTGCAATGCCTGAACCTGGCATGGCTGCCGGAGAGTCTGTGGGAGCCTGTGCAATGCCTGAACCTGGCATGACTGACAGAGTAGCTGTGGGAGCCTGTGCAATGCGGCATGGCTGACGGAGTACCTGTGAAAGCCTGTGCAATGCCTGAACCTGGGCTGCCGGAGTGCCTGTGAGAGCCTGTGCAATGCCTGAACCTGGCATGGCTGACGGAGTACCTGTGGAGCCTGTGCAATGCCTGAACCTGGCATGGCTGACGGAGTACCTGCGAGAGCCTGTGCAATGCCTGAACCTGGCATGGCTGCCGGAGTACCTGTGGGACGAACACCTTGCTCGGCACCCCGCGCACGATCAGCTCGATCATTTGCATGTACGATCCTGGCTGCCACCGCAGGGCCCTGAAAACCTTGTGCTGCGGGTCGGCTTGGGGCCCTTCCCTCTTTAGAGGCACCGGTGCATCCAAGAATGGCTTCCGCCTCCTCTTTCGACGCCCCTGCTTCCATGTCCTCCCTATACAAGAATTCAAAATCCTCCATATCATCGACTCCCAGATTATCAACAGGCCCTATTGGATGTTCCAACCCAAGACCCCTCAAGTACTGCTTCACTCGCTCCCAGTTGGCGGGCTCGAAATTTCTTGCTTCTAGTCTCCGGGCATATGCCCCTCTGCCTGTGATGCTGCCCTCAGCTGCCGTATCCTCCTGAACATCCTGGAGATCCACGGACCCTTCTGGTTCCGCCTCGTTACCACATTGGAGTCGTCGGTGGCCCTCAGCTATCAAGCCCACTTCCAACAGACCTGGACTCATCCCAACGACATGCTGAACAGGGTCCACACAGGGCTCAACTGCTGCAAAAACTTTATTCCCGCGTGAGCCCTCACTGACTCCTCCTCGACTGGGTCCCAGTCGAAACCCCCTTGCGACTTGAGTTGCTGCCGTTGAGCCTCCGTGGCACAATGAAGCCAAGGCGCAGAAAAACCCACAAGCAACACATGATCGGCGTCGGCCTCATGCGGAAGCGGAGATGGCAACGCGTGGAGGGAATGTGGATCAACACAAACGGGTCTGCCCACCACGAGCGGTAGGCG